GGCCCAGAAGATGTACACCATTTCCCAGACAGAGTAAAGAGCCTCAGGTAAAAACAGAAAGTCAATAAGTGCTGGGGCCTAACACAAAGTGAGCAATATTAGCATCAGAGTGAAACATCCGTTCAAACAGCTGCCACCATTCACTTGTGGCATTAGGGCTGTGTTGCTCTGCACACCTATTTCCCCCAGCTTTACTAACATTCAACATAGCCGTTGTCATCCCTGCCCTGATAGTGCATTCTGTGGTTCAAAAATCAGTTCAGAGCCTGTTGGAGATTATTAAAATTAAAAACTCTGCAGGACAATTTTACTGATTTAAATCACTAGAATCATGCTTTGTGGAGAAGAGTCAAACATATATCCTTATTTTACTCTTTTATTGGCCAACTTAATTCCCGAGCTGGTAGAAACCAAGTAATTTTTTTCAAGCTGTGGTGTCACTTACTTCCCAGAGTTATAATTAGAAAATTAATAGAACACTTAAAAGCAAAATAGCAAGGCCAGCAGGCTATTCCAGGTCTATTTTTAAACACAATATTTTGACTCCTTTTTATTCACAGTACTAATATATCCTCAAAGAATTTTCTCCACCAGCATCAAAAATCTTAAATCTCACTACTGTCACCAAGTTTAGGAAATTTCAGTAAAAATGTACAAAAATAGATTAATAACCTGTTCATCTTTCTTTATGTACCTAGATTAGACCAGTTTATTTCCAAAAGAAGAGGACAAATTAGTTACACATTATAGTCTTAACAGGCATACAAAACAGGAGTAAATTAGGTCACTCATTTCATCTCTCCAGTGTATAACTGTAATGCACAGCCATTTGAACAAAATCTAATAGTCCTGGTGTTAAAATTGGCCTTTAGGAGCCTAAAGATAAGCCTGTGTGGCAGATGGTCCCCTAATTTACTTAAATTCACCCCACAAATCTCTACGAATTTATTAGTATCTGGTGATACAGCCGATCTAACCACTGACATATATATGCTACACACAAGCTGCTCTCCTGCAAAACACCAGCCTCATATAACATATTTAAAACCATTCAGTGACCTTCAATGATTGAAAATAGCAAGTAGTGGTGGATAACTAAAAAAAGATCATATACTCTCCCTCCTGGAAAAAAAAAAATCTGGTCTATTCTAATGGAATAATAAAACTTAATCCTCCTACTCTAGGGACGACTTCTTCCACTAAAGATTTTTTCTGCTTGTTTAAATTAATTTTATATGCTTCCTAAGTAATTCTGAATTCTCATCCCTGCCAGATAAAACAATTTCAAATAGAAACACAAACATTAATTGAGTAATTTTGTGCTGTAAGAAAGAAAGAGGAGAATGGAAATAAGAAACCTTTTCTAATCTGTTTACATACATAATACTCCATACATCTGAGACAATAACTTTTTCACCACCTTTCAGATAGTATTCTCAATAGACAAGCCAGTTTTATGCAGTCCTTATTTCTGCTAAGAGAAGTAAAAGAAAGCTGCAAAACATCAAGTTATATAGAATACCTACTATTTCAGCCATCAGTATTTCACAGCTACGATCCCATCCGCAGAATTATTGCAAAGATTAGAGATCTAGAAGTCATATTATTTTTGAAGATTGCTACCAATTGCATGCACAAATTAAACAAAATAAATACATATATATATATGCAAGAAATATTTTAAATGTAACTTTATAGCTTTGGGTTATTTTGATACAATGCAATTCAATGGGGTATTTTGGTAGAGTAGCACAAGCAAATTCAGCTTCTTAAATTGGAAAGTCCTTACCAAGTTCTTTTCCTTCATCTAAAACTGTTAGTCAGTTTAAACTCTGGGCAACTAAAATTTAGCCTTTAATACAGCATTGGAAATGTATATTGGGGGAAGAAAAAATATCAGAACAGTAGGCACCAAGCAACTACATAACTCCAGTCAGTGACCGAGAGCACGCTAACTTTTATAGAAAACCTCAGCTGGCAATAAATTTATTCAAATTAAATCATCTTTATGATCAGATTAGTCTCTTACTTGAAGACTATCAATAAAATATATTATCCAGGCCTCATATTTCCCATATGCCATTCAAAAACAACCTCATTGTCATCATTATCACCATCTGTTCAGGAAAGATCAGGATTTATACCAAAAAAAAAAACCATTCCTAGAAACGTGATATTAGAAATGGTTTAAATCAAAAGGTTGTAGAAATTCACTTCCTCGTTACAGCTGCTGAACATTAAGATGAGGGACAAAGATTATTCAAGTCAGTGGAAAGATTCCCATTTCCTTCAGTGACCTTTATAATGATCTCAAGAGTATCTATAAACTCTTTTCACACACTTTCCTTCTAACACCAAGTTTGTGAGTGCCTAATAGCAACCCAGAAATAGGTCCTAGTTTTAGCAAAGGTATCCAAACTAGGTGAATCAGCATGATTTACACTGTATGATTTTCACATCTGAAGCATCTACCTACAGCGTAATTTGTTCTTTATAGCCAAGACTTTCCTCCAAACCAGAACCAGCTTCGTTGTCTTCCATAGGAACATGGGTACAGATAAACTGTGAACATTTTTCCTGCCATTAAACCAATGTTCCAGGAAATACATTTCATACAATTACAAAATACATTTAATCTGACCAATCTAGAAATTATTTTACCATTAATGAAAAAATCCCAGAGGCCTACATTGTTAAAAGCCACTAGTGATTTTTTAGTACTTCAAAATGTGAGTACCCATTTAGGCACAGATTAGATAGATCGAGTTTTCATAAAATGATAAACATACAATCTTTGTGAGAGATACGAAAAAGGAAAATGCTATGAAGCTAAGCAAGCAAAATGTTACACTGGAAATATAAATTATGAGTTAGAGCTTCATTAAATCAGGTAATTTAACAGGGAATGCCTTAATTTCTGTAAGATACTTAAAATTAACCAAAGAATATGCTAATGAAACACTGTATTCCATTGCAAGAGCAGAGACTAGCTTAAAAGTTTTATACAAAGTTGATCAATCTTCATTAACTTTTGTACTATCTTTGGGTATATGCATTTCAAGTACATATGATCTACCTGAAGTCATTAAGCTGAAACCTGCGTTGTGACGTCCTGCCAAAAAGAGATTGTGATGAGTGAGAAATCTGCAATAAATTGAGACTTTTTCAGCTATTTCAATACCCACATGTTGATATGGCCCATTTCTAACCAAAAGAAACATTCTTTTCAAAATAATCAATTCAAAGGAAGTCAGACATTCACTGGCAAATGCAATAAAGGATTTGGCAGACATTAAAGAGCACAGGTAACACAGGTTTATAGGTGCAGCTGGAAAGCATGTATAAGCAAAAAATCTTAAATGAGGAGAAAATGTGAGGAGGTAAAAAAAGGAGTAGCTAAACTCACAGGGATGTGCAAAGCTACTCTTTTCAGGTAATCTGTATGCTCATTATATTGTTCTCTAAGCACGGCTGAATTTTCCTGTGGTCACTGCATCTGTGTAGACATACCTACAGTTGTACTACTTAGGTCAGGTGTTGATTAGAGTGTAGTAACATAGTAACACGGGAGATTACAAAAATCTGCTTTGAAGTCTAGACATATACTAGATGTACAATTGCTAGTAGACTGTGTGCTGCCATTGACGGCATGGGGTTCCAGCAGTTTAAAAGTTAGTTCAGCTATATCAACATAGCCTGCAACCCCACCTTCAAGAGCTTTACAGAAAGACCCCATGGAAAATGCAATGTATGTGACCCTGTGCAATTTTCTAAGATTTGTTACATGAGCTAAGCAAAGCCAATTTGCAAAGAATAAGCAAAGAATAACACTGCTAGGGACCAAACCTTAATCTTCTACCTTGCAAAATTTCTTCCTCAGACACATAGCCGGCAAAATCTCTAGGCATATTAACTTTTATGAAATTAGGTATTTCCCACCTCTCATAATAAAATATAATAAGCAAACAAATTTTCCTCTAATTTTCAAAAGAGATAAGGGGAAAGAAAATGGAAATTTTCCCAGGGATCAAATACAGGAAATTTCAGCCCAAAAGGTAAAGGGTTCCTAAATGAACAGCAGCTGATGGAAAGATGTTATAGCAGATCTAAAGATCTAATAGCAAATCTTAATTAGAGCAGGCATCACAATTCCCAGCTAAACAATAGTGATACTACCCCACACAAGCCAAGGAATTAATAAGGAAAAACTACATTTTCTTGTTAACACAAGTCTTTCTCAGCTGAAACTTAAATCAAGATCAAATTTGATTACCTTGCCTTTTGTATTACTATCACAATTTATTTAATTTCATGTTAATTTTGTAGCTACTTCATGTTAAATAGTTTAGAGAAGTCGAGGGAAAACAGAACAGTAGTAACGAATTCTTTTCACTAATTGGAATGGGATCGCCATGAACAAGAAAAAAGAAAAGGGAAGATCAAGAGAGATGGAAAAGGTATAGACTATATGCTTGGTAGGAGAAATTAAGAGAAAAACAAAAGAGACTTTCCCTCGCTCTTCTACACTCCCTCTCTCGACTTTTCATTGAAATATGACCTCATGAAAACCCTGAACATGTTAGGGCGTGAGAGGAAGCTATCAGCAGATCACAGAAAGCATTTTGTTTGACAGAAAGCAAGTGGCTAGCATCAAGCATTCTAAACATGAAACTTTTACTATTTAAATAACATCAAAGAAATTTCAAAGTAAAAGCTGATTTTGTGTCAAACATCAAAACATTTTATCATGCAAGTGACAAAGTAAAGTTCCTAATGTTTTGTAATGCTTTTTTCATGTCCTGGTTTTAAATGGAAAAATTTGGTGAAACACAGGTGAATTTGCTAAACGCTTTTTGAGAAGCCCAATTTTTTTCTGCCAGAAATTTAATCCTGCTCTAAATGTGCTAGCTAGCTAGTTCTAGATACAGTGTGATTGCAAATCAGGCTCAGAATTAAAGCATTTCCTACTACAGCATGCATACTATTCCAGTGTAATGTAACATAGCTTAGAATAATGTATTGTAGGAAGATGATACTTGCAGACGGTGATCCCCTGGTACAGTAGAAAATAAATAGAAACTATTCCAGCAATAAAGCATCAAATTAGTACTAAGGCACAAAACTCAGAGTCCGTATTTAGAAAAGGAAAATTGTCACTAGTCATTAGTATTGGCAGTCAGGTCTAAAGAAATTTCTGTTACTGCTATCATTATTTAACTTAGGCTCTCCAGGATCAATATTTTGAGGACAGGATGTATTTTCAATTAAAAACAGTCTGAGCCTCCAAAAATATTTGATTAAAATAAATACACCAATAAGTAGCATAACCTTCAACATACAGCCAAAAAAAAAAGCTTTCAATTTAATTATTTAGATTATCACAGAATTATGGCCATATATAAAACATTCCTTTAGCTATTTACTAGCTGTGCAGGAGTCACCACCTCCTTTTCTTTCTTTCCTAGCGTTGCAGGCAGTGCTTATCAGCTCAGCCACCAGGACACACAGTAGGACAGGCCTTTGGTCTCATCTGTGTGGGTCCTGGCAATGGTCCTGCTGAGGCCAGATCCTGTGTCTCCTTCACCAGCATGGAGGCAGGTACTGCCTCTCCCACTTTGCATCCAAACCCTTTTCAGATGTATTATTTTTATATTACAGAAAGTGAGAGTTAAGGGGGAAGGGAAGGGCCCCAGAAAAAGAATGAGAGAATCCATGGGAAAAAAGTGATACATAGGTTTGCCATGGAGCAACTGAATAAGCAGTGGAAAAGAAGAGCTTTCCTACCTCTAGCTTCCCTCTCCTTCCAAAACTTTATTCACATTTGTTGAATTTAAATTCGGCTGATATCGGTTAATAATAAATAAGTTTAGCTGATATTTGGCTGGTTTTGCCACTCCCTAATTACATCCTCTTCAAAAGGACAGGATGAATTCTAGCATACACTCACGCACATATATGCAAGACATAGACTAATTCTACCACTTGCACATACACACCCACAAGTGCCTATGTGAGTATTTTTTGTATATACAAAAGCCCCATGAACATTTTGGTTCACTTTGCTGTTGTCTCTGTTCCAAGTCTTGTTTTATGCTCCTTCTCCAGGGGAAAAAACAAAACAAAACAAAACAACAACCCACTCCTCCAGCCGCCCATAGTGATTCCTCTGACTTCTGTGAGGAGAATTGTAAGAGAGAACCATCACCCAGAAATACAGCTGAGGCAAGAACCCTTCTCCTCCATGGGATGAGGAGTCACATGGGCATGAGCCAGGAACCAGTAAACATCAGGATTTATGAATCTTCAGAAGTAATGTGTTGCTCACTTCATCTATACCACATCTGTTCAGTAGTACAGGCTACCAAGAAAATAAATAATAAAGCTCAAAATCTCTACCTTGATCTTCCAGAGGCTCATTACTCTGAGTCCTGGATATCAAACAACATCTAAATCTTTTGGACACAGGTGAAAAAAAGTTAAATTGCGCACGAGACCAAGTTATTTTGTAGCCAATCCAAGACCGCAGAATGAGCTGCTAAGTAGGAATTCGCTCTTCACTGCTTAGGCCAAAACCCTATTTATAATGATCAGATCCGGACAGTATACTGGCAGTCAGATGATGCCATGAAAATATTTCTACCATATCCTTCCTCCTGACAGACCGAAGCTATCATAGCTACTGAAGCTATGAAGATTAGACAAAATTGACTGCCTATAGCTGAGCTTCCCCTACACGCACCTGACTGCCTGCTTCCCAAGAAGCAGGCTTCCGGCTGAACACAAGTGATGTGTCATGCTGTGCTGATCCTTGCATCACCTCGAGCCACCAGTGGAAGCAGCGCTGGAGAGCAAATCATGCCCTCCACACGTAGAGGAAAAACGACCACCAGGTAGAAAGTGTGTCAGGACATGCTGGGTCAGACAGCCATCTGCCTCACCCTACAGGCTGCCTCCAACACTGTCTGAAAGCAGATGTCTAGGGAAGAGTAAGAACAGGCAAGTGTATGAGTCACTTCTCCCAGTACTCACCCAACCTCCAACTATTTCCTGTTACGGAGACTTCCTGAGCCAGATGCAACTTCTGCAAACCATGTATGGGGTCATGTGTATGCCACTGAGAAGGTTATTTGAGGAAAAAGGAGCAAGGACCTCCCTCTCAGGTCAGTACACTGTATTTTCAGTAAACACACTCTTGAAAAAAATTACATAAAGCCAAAACCTGTGGCAATAAAGCAATACAAAGGATAAATAAAACAAGGATCTTCTGTCCTGTTCTCAGCCATACTTCTTAGAATGATTTAGCACTATCCATCAGCAAACTTATCCTTAACCACATTCTTTATATTTTAATATCCCTTTAAACCATTTTTTTAGACATTAGTATATTCTGTTTCTTTCTAAATTCTAGGGAGCCCTCATCCAACTTATGAACTTCTCCCCAGTAAAAATCTGAGCAGAAAAAAACAGATTTTTTTATGAGTCTTCAAAAAAATCAACAGGAACGTATTGACAAATTTATAAGGAGAGGCAGTTTGATTTCTAAATCCATGTGAAGGAAGCAGTCACTGCAATGAAACAATGAATGCTTCTTTAACATTCAAGCCAAGAACATTCCTTGAATCTTCTGCCCTAAGTAGGCATCACTTCCTGGAAGAGAAGCAAACTTTGTTGTTGATTTGAACTCGTGTCTGAAATAACGATGAACCGAAGGAAAAAAAAAAAAAGTGCATTAAGCTTATAACAAGTAGTTGTAACCTACTAATAAGTTAATTCACGCTACATGAACAGAACAGCCCCTTTGTTCTGGCTGGTTTCACATCTCTGTCCCAGCAACAATCTGACTAGGTTACTGAGTGATAAACTGATGCAATGCCGCACAATTCTGGCAAATTTACTCAATCAGCAGCACCTGTGACATACTTATCTAGATACAACAATCTATCAGAGGTAGTTAATCCTTTGATAGGGTGCCACTTTGACCATAACTCTGTCCTTTCATTCAAATCTTTGGGGAAAAATGTTAGTTATCTGCTTTTAGCACCTAGCCCTGTACCAGAATTGCCTCAAGTCTTCTCAGAAACACAGGCGATGGAGCTCTGCAGACTCAAGGGTAAGCATGTCGGCTGGGGTGCAGGGGAAGGGAGAGGAAACAAAAGAGGCAAGACAAAGAGAGAGGGGTTGAGGTAGATCCTTAAAAAGCTAAACCTGCCTCTCCTTGACTGCCAACATAGCAAGGTGGGCCTGGTGAGCACTGGCTGCAAACTCTTTCTCCAGCAACAACCTCTGGCCACCCCTGGGGGGAACAGTGGCAGTGGCACAGTAGCAGCAGCAACTCTCCTGCCTTTCCAGAGCTCTAGCACCAGCAAAATAAGCAGTGCCATCCACGCTTGCCCACACAAGTCTGCACTGAAATCTAATGGCTAAATTCTACCTAAAAAGTAGAAAAGGCCTAAAAGTTAAATCATAATAAAACTAAGAAAAAGGAGAAAAGGGAACTGTTAAGGGTGCCCTAACTGGGAATGTAGTAAATCTATAAAGTGTGCCCTTCCTGGCTGAAGTCCAGCGCAGAGACGAGGGACTGCAGTAACTGGGACACATACACAGAGCTCCTGCTTTGTTTTAGACAAACTGTTACTCTACAGATAGCAAGCTGCCAAACTTTATGGTCAAACTTTATGAGCTGTCAAACTTGTTACATAAAGAATTCGGAAATACTGTATTTGAAATCTTAGTCAGTATAGCTGTAATGGGCTCTTTCTCTAATACTATAATAATTTATATACCGCATGGGCCAAAGAGCTAAATCAAGAGCAAGATGAATGTATCTCAGCAAGCAGAGGTTCTTATGCTCTGTTTCCCTTCCAGCATATTTCTTACCTCAGACTGCTACTTCAAACAAAGTCCTCATTCTTCCTGTTCCCAATCATTTTTTTTCCCCAAAACTTCCGTTCTACATGATTGCCAGTCCCAAATATCCACAAATTAGGTCTTATTCGAAAAAAGTTATGATCTGGTTTGGTTTGATTTGGGTTTTTAACCTTATCATCACTTTTTTGTTACCTTTTGGATAAAATTTTCCAAATTTTCTCTGCATCTGTGAAGAGTAGAAGCTCACAAAAAAGAGAGAGAGAGAGAGAGAGGAGAGTGATGTAATCACATAACTCTGACTTTTTTTTACTAAAAAGTGCCCATATTGCATAATCTGCAATACAAGCACGAGCGCATTCTCCATGCCTGTCACTTGCCAGATGTCCACCCTCGAGGACCTCCTCCCCACAGCATCTCCTTCTCCAGCCCGTTCCCGCTTCCCAAACGTCACGTCTGAAGCCCATTTGCTGTCCCCAACCTCTTGGGGCCCCTTGTTGGCCCTGGATGGCATTGCCAGATCCTCCCTGCCCTCTGCCACCCCTGGCCCCCAGCATGGCCAAGGATGAGGCCTTTCCTGGGGGCACTAACAAAGTGCGAGATTGTTGCCACCACACGAACCTGACCGGGATGAGTGTTGGCTGGCTGCAGCACAAGGTTGTCCGGTCCCCTCTGTCCTCCCCCTGGGGCCCCGCGGCTCTGTGCCCCACGGCTCCGTGCCGCCTTCCCGCCGCTGCAGGCGCGGGCTGGGCCTGGTCCTGCCACCTGCCACACACCCGGCTCAGGCCACACTCCACCATCTGTCTTCTGGTTTTGCTCTGCTTGCCATCTTCTGTCTGTGGAGCCTCTATGCCCCAGGGCACCTCTGAGCAGCTGGCCCAGGGCAATTGTACCCAGGATGCCCACCAGAAGCTGGCTCTGAATTAATATGGACTGGATGGGAGGCAGGGAGGAGGCCCGCAAGCCTCAAATCCTACAGTAGAGCCCTGGGGGCTCTACTGGCCTTACCGGCCCTGCATGGCCTCCCAGGCCTGCCCTCACCCCAGCCCCAGGCCCAGGAGCCCATTTAGCTCAGCCAGGGGCCGTCAGTCCATGCCACAGCAGCTGTAGGTTTGTCTGTCTCAAGCCCAGCCTCTGGCCCTGCCTCCTGGATGGGCACCTCGCAGCCGACCTGTAGCCTTGTCTCCAGCCCCGTCCCAGCCCTGTCTCCCTTTGCTCCTGACTGGACCTTGGATCTGGCCAACCCCCTCGCTGAGCCTGGGGCTGTCTCCAGACCCTGCTGGCAGCATCCAGCTCTGCTTGCCCTGTTTTGAGTGCTGCAGGGCGCACTCCTGGGCGAGGGCACGGCTGCGCTGGGGTCACCATCAGGTCCCGGCTCCCTGCCCTTCGGGAGCAGCCAGCCCTCACTACACCTAGACATCTGTATCCTGGTCAGGTGAAAATCTAGAGGAGAGCTGCTGTATCCTGGCTGCTTCCTGCGTGCACCCATTGCTACCTCTCAAGCTTTTCATAACTTCAGCTTCTGGAGATTTCCAGTCTTGATACTTCACTGCCTGTGCTTCAGGGTGCTCCTTGCAAAGGCCTGGTGGTAAATCCACTCCTAATTTTTTGTTTGTCATATGTAGGAGTGATCTTTTCGTCCCTAAGACTAATGTTCTGGGGGGAAACCTTTGTGTGATATTTAAGACAATGAAGAAAAGAGATAGATGCCAGATACAGACATGCAGACTGACAAACAGATAGACTGATCGGGAAACTAGTGAAAGTACAAGACCATTCTCGCTGCTGAACCATTCAGGCAACCGCTGTCACATTTTGATTAATATCACAGAGGAGAGGGAATTTCAAGGCAGGCTCCAAAGCCTCCAAAGAGTACCCCAAAGAGTAATTTTTTGGATATCATTGAGAAGAAGGAATTCCTCCTGTGTGGGAGGGACTCCTCAAGTTGGGGAAGAAAACACAAAACATCATCTGGTTTGAAAATCTAATAAGTAAGCGGTACAGTCTAGTATCACAGCCTGGTTAAAATTAGGGATTAAGATTCAAAGTTAAACTGCACATGCCAGTCAGCATGGATGTCCAAACCAACACTGACGTCCAGGCCAGAGCAACATGAAGGATGAGAGCTTTGTCCACAGTGATCAAAAAAGGAAGTAAGAGAGCACGGAGAAGGAAGAGGAAACAGAAGAAGAATAAAAGATGATGAAACGAGTTCTGTTTTAGTTCTGTTTAATCTGAGCTGATGGTCAAACACCCATGAGAAATATGCCAAGATTGGATAAAACCTGAAAGGAGAAAAAGCTGAAGTATAAAAAATCAGTGCTCCTCCCCTTCCTTCCACTCTTACCAGGATTACTGGAATATAGTTAGAAAGAGGAAATAATTAATAGTCTGTAGAGCAAAGTGCAGAAAATTACTTTAAAAAAAAAGGAGAAAAAACATGGAACTGAAGACTTCAGAGGAAAGCCTGTGGGTTACTGCCAGAATTAAGGACATGTTTTGTTTGTTTATCCAAATGTGCAATAAAAGACATCCTAGATCTGTTATTAATTGGAGATGATAAAATTGTTAGTCGGGAAGAAGGGAACAACTCAGAGTAAAAAAAGCACTTTGATGTGCTCACATTACTGGGGACAACAAAGAATTTTCAGATCCATTGGTAACTGAGGAAAACGTTAAATGACATTAAATTTGACTTGATAGGTTGGACCCCAGGTCACTGTGTGAGCTAGCAAAAGAAATCTTTGGCTTTCTAATGTAGCTTCAGGAAAATTCCAGAAGACATTCTTGACACTGTTCAGAAAATTTCCACAGAGATATATGCTAGTTCACACCTATTCATCAGTGATTTGGAAGTAAATATGAACTCTGAGAGGATAAAATTTGCAGAGGGTTTAAAGATTGGTCATTATACACAGATTTTGATCACTTTGTA